GACCTCCTGGGTTCAAGCATCTTCTTGCCTCAGGCTCCTAAAGTGCTGGGATTACAGGTGTGAGGCACTGCATCTGGCCTTAATCTCATTTTTTCCATGAACTTTTTGAAGTCTGCTTGCATGTGGTCCAAGAAGGGAATGTAAAAAGAGCCAAAAGTATTTTGAGACACAGACATGGAATAGTTTCTCCTTCAGACAAAAAAAAAAAAATTTAGGCCTCACAGGAAAGGTAATAAGCAAAATCAAACTAAGCAAATTATATAGTGTGTTACAAGTTGAAAGTACTATGGAAAAAAATAATGAGGGGAAAGGAGATGGAAAGCAGGGCAGTCAGGTAGAAGCAATTTTTAAAAGATGCTCAGGATAGGTCTCAGTAGGAGGTTGAGGTTTCAGCAAAGACTTGAGGGAAGTCAAGTAGTCAGCCATGTGGATATCCTAAAAGAAAGCATTCCAGAGGGAGAAAATACAAAGGTCTTGAGGTAAGGGACATGCATTGTGTATACCAGGAATAGCAAAGAGGTCAGTGAAACTGGGGCCTCACTGGCTTAAGGACAGAAAAATGGGAATTTATATATTAATTGCCTTAGCCAATCATGCTATTTTTCTTTCTCTTCACTCCAGTTGCTATGCTGAGTCTTGTGGACATTCATGCAACATGCCCCCTCCTCTTCACCTCCATACAACACCCAGGGTAACTCTTGATTTTCCACATCAGTGTCAACTGTGGGATTTTATGACTTCCAAAATATGCCGGAACTATACTCAGTTTATTTTTGTAGATCATCATCAAGGTCCTGAGGCCAAAAATCTAATTATTATTATTATTATTGTTTTTTTTAGACGGAGTTTCACTCTTATTACCCAGGCTGGAGTGAAATGGTGCAATCTCGGCTCACTGCAACCTCCACCTCCCAGATTCAAGCAATTCTCCTGCCTCAGCCTCCTGAGTAGCTGTGATTACAGGTGCCCACCACTGCACCCGGCAAATTTTTATATTTTTAGTAAAGACAGGGTTTCACCATGTTGGCCAGTCTGGTCTCAAACTTCTGACCTCAGGTGATCCACCCGCCTTGGGCTCCCAAAGCGCTAGGATTACAGGTGTGAGCCACCGTGCCCAGCCCAAAAATCTAATTATATCTTAACACAACTGACTAGGACCAGAGTGCTATTCAAAGGAAGGATTGGGACAATTACTTTTGCAGTTTATAGCAAAAGTGCCAATTTTTCCTTTCCCTATCCAACCAATCCTCTTCCCTTACTTCTACAAAACCTACTTTTAGGCCAGGCATGGTGGCTCACGCCTGTAATCCCAGCACTTTGGGAGGCCGAGGCGGGTGGATCATTTGAGGTCAGGAGTTCAAGATGAGCCTGGCCAACATGGTGAAACCCCATCTCTACTAAAAATACAAAAAAAAAAAAATTAGCCAGGTGTGGTGGCAGACGTCTGTAATCCCAGATACTCAGGAGGCTGAGGTAGGAAAATCACTTGAACCCAGGAGGTAGAGGTTGCAATGAGCTGAGGTCAGGCCTCTGAACTCCAGCCTGAGTGACCAAGTGACTCTGTCTCGAAAAAAATTAAAAAATAAAAAATAAAAACCTACTTCTAAACTAACCATGACTAGATAGTCACTGTTGATCAATTCTACTAACTAGATATAACCAAAGTTACTTATACTGAGAAGTGAATAATTTTAAAAGTTTAAATGTTTTATAAAGAAATTTTAAAACTCTTAATAGCTCCATATAGACTACAGAACAGAAAATTCTTAGTTTGACTTCAAGATTCTCCCCTACCTGGGCTTAAAACTGTTTTACTATCTCCCGTTTTGAGAACTCCCTCCAACCAAGCCAGTCATTCTCCCAAAGCATCATGTTCATTCCCACATCTGCTCCTTTTCCACTTGTTCTCTAAAATGTTCTTTCTTCCAAGCCTTAACTCTATTTCCACCAATTACATAAAGCCTTGTTTCACCACCTCAGTTCATAGTTTTCCCCTCTTCTAACTTCTATCACTTGTCTTGTAGCTCATAGTGTTACGGGATCTTTGGGGTATCCATTTTCTGGCCAGAAACCTCTGTGGCCACAGTGCCTTTGCCCGAGTTCTTGTCCTGCATCCAGGAAGAATGAGGTATGTGGACAATGAAGGGTGAAAAAGACAAAGATGAGCTTTATTGAGCGTTACAGCGGCTCAGAGGAGACCTGCAGTGGGTAGTTCCTCTCTGTAGGCAGGTTGTCCATCGAGTATTCAGTTCTCAGTAGAGAGGAGGCCCTGGAGAGGGTGGCTCCTCTCTGCAACTGATCTTCCTGATGTCTGCAGCTCTCAGAAGAGGCCCTGGAGAGGGTGGCTCTTCTCTGCCCACAGGTTGTCTCTGCAGCTCTCAGCAGGCAGGGTAGGTCCTTTCTGCAACTGGTTGTTCCGTCATCTCCAACTATCAGCAGAGAGGGTAGCTTCTCTCTTAGGCTGGTTGACCCATAGGTCTCTGCCCTCTTGGTCCTCTGGCAGTCCTCTGCCCTGCTCTGGGTGAGCCCAGGGCTTTTATGGACCTCAGAGGGAAGTACATGCCGATTGGTCCATGGGCAGCCATGGCAGGCCAAGAAGATGCACCACGAGTCCCTACTCCAGTCTGCAGGACTGGCAGCCTGGACCCCTGTCTTCAGGCCCTCCCTGACCTGAAGGTGGGGGTCTTACTGGGGACTCACCCTCTTCTACCCAGGAATCAATCTGCCTCCCGCTGCCATTCTTGGCCCCAAGCCTGCTCTGACATTGGAGCAGGGCATGAGAGTGGAGAGAGGCCAGGCGGTGGGAGCAGACACTCCTGAGCTTGCAGGGATTGCGGTAGGGTGTCTAGCTGGTCCCCCAAGGGTGCAGGCTGCAGAGATGCCCAGGTCCTACACCTGGGAGGGCAGCCACAATGGCACCAGGGGCTCCTGAGTCAACTCAGAAGGGGCAGGGTTCCCACAGGCTTCATGGAGTGTGCAGCCCTAGTCATACCTCCCTGCTGCAGCTGGCTGCCATCAATAGGGCAAACTCAAATTTTTCTGAACTTCCCCAAACACACACACACACACACACACGACTCTTTCAAAATTTATATATAATCAAACTGGTTGTCCATGATTGGATCCTGTTATCACTGATGACTATTTATACACATAAATTTTGGATACATACAATGGTTAATTATAGCAGTAAGTCCCTTACAATGCATTGTATATGTTCTCTTACCCTTACATGCATTTGTTAATCAAATCTTGTGAATTCTACCCTTTAAAAGTTTGTCAATTCCATCCACACTTCAGCCTTATTATGTCCTACTGTATGACCTTAACCTCTTCCAACTAGACTACTGCCATACCCCATTAATTGGCTTCAGTCCAATCTTCTCACTTTCAATCCATTCCCTTCATTCCTGAGTAATGTTTTTGTTTTGAGACAGAGTCTTGCTCTGTTGACCAGACTGGAGTGCAGTGACAGCAATGAGGGCTGACTGCAGCCTCGACCTCTCAGGTCCAAGTGATCCTGCTGCCTCAGCCTCCCAAGTACCTGGGACCACAGGTACACACTAACACACATGGCTAATTTTTCTACTTATCGTAGAGACGAGGTTTCATTACATTGCCCAGGCTGACCTGAGTGCTGGGTCTACACACAAATCTAACCTTATTCTCCTGGTTAAAACTTCTGGTGACTCCAAACTCTTTAGCGTGGTGAGACCTTTTCAAATCCGCCCCATGGAAGCTCAGTAATAACCAACCAAAATAAAAAAGAGTGGCAGCAGCTGCTGCCCCAGTTCGCCTTTACACAGACTGATCTCAACCAGTTCCCCAATATGCCTGTGCATAATTTTCCCATTGCTAGAAATGCCCTGTTTCTCTTTGCCTCATGCACACCCCGTCTTATTTCAAGGTCCAGCTCAAAAGTCACCTCCTGTCTACAACTTCCTCTGATGCTCCTGAGCAGGGCTGGCTGAATCCCTGCCTCTTTACAATAAGCAAATACAGTCTTTTTTAAATTTCTTTTCTTTTTTTTCTGAGACCTTGTCTCGCTCTGTCACCTAGGCTGAAGTGCAATGGTGCAATCTCGGCTCACTCGAACCTCCGCCCCTTGGGTTCATGCAATTCTCCTGCCTCAGCCTCCTGAGTAGCTGGGATTACAGGCACGTGCCACCACACTCGCCTGATTTTTGTATTTTTAGTACAGACGGTGTTTCACCATGTTGGCCAGGCTGGTCTCGAACCCCTGACCTCTGGCAATCCACCTGCCTCGGCCTCCCAAAGTGCTGGGATTACAGGCGTGAGTCAACGCGTCCAGCCAGAAATAATATTTTACAGCAATTACACTGCACTGCTTAGATGATTATTCCTATGCCGCCTCCTCCCCCAACAAGGTGCGTGCCTTCAACACAGAACTGTCTTGTTTCTGTCTATTCCGTAGCCTCGCAGGCAAAGCCAGCGTCTGGCACAAGCCAAGGACCGAGTGACTACCTGTGGAACACAATTACTAGAATTGCGTCTGGGGTTCCTGGAGGGTGGGCCTTGGCTGGGCGGATCCCAGGAGCCTGGCGTCTCCCAGGGGAGGTGCTCACCTCAGGGCGGGTCTAAGACGGCCCTGCCTGCCACACTAACCGCCAAGCCTGGCCAAGAAGCTCAGGGAAGCCGCGTAGCCACTGCCCGCTTGGGTCAGGGCGGTGACGGAGCCTGACTGATAATAACAGCTGAACTTGACTGACACACTGACCTAGGGTTGGAGCGGGTCCCAACCAACTGCCTGACGGCCCAAAGTTAGTAAGAAGGGATGGCAGGCCTTGTCATCTTCGAAGGAGAGGAAGGGCCGCAAAGGAATTGCCGTAGCGTTCCTACGCGCGCTTCGCGCCTCTTCTCACGCGGAGCAGGAAAGGAAGTGGGCGAACCCGCCGGAAGACTCGCCGAGTGCGCGCGCGCAGCAGCCCATTTTCCCGCCCCCAACGTGGCCCGCCCTTTTACCCAGGCCTTACGCGAGCTTCGCCGAGTACGCGTGCGCGGCAGCTTTCTCCCCACCCCACCCCCCACCCCCGCCCCTCACGTGGCCCCACCCTCTCACCCTAGACAGACGGGAGCCTCCTGGGGTGTCCACGTGAGCGCGCGTGAGCCCGCCCCCCCCAGTCACGTGATCGCTGACTCCCGGCGTTCTCCACTACGGCTTACCTACCTCCCTGGCCCGGAACCCGGCGATATGGCTGCAGCTGTGTCCCGCGCCGCGTCTCTCTCCCCGCTGCTTCCCCTTCTCCTGGGCTTCCTGCTCCTCTCCGCTCCGCATGGCGGCAGCGGCCTGCACACTAAGGGCGCCCTTCCCCTGGATACGGTCACTTTCTACAAGGTAACAGGGGCGTGGGACGTCGCGCGCAGGTGCTGTCGGGCCGCCTGGAAGAGCGCGCGCTAGTGGATGGACGCTGGACACCGGGAGCTGACGGGAGGTGGTCTGTAGCAATGGTCCCAGGGCTTCCCGGAGTCCTACAGGCCTAGTGGACTCTGAGCCGGGGGAATGTTATGACCACCGGGCATGCACGCTTCAGGGCCCCGGCGCACCCGTGCTTTTGCAGCATTTATACTTGCATCCTCCCTTGCAAAGATGCCGAGGGAACTGTGTTCCCCTTCCCTTCACCTAGGGGGAGAGGGTGGTGCCTGGAGAGATCCAACCCTCGAATCCCAAGTGCGAGAACCGGAGGGCGGTGCGAGGCCGACGCCACTGGGCTCCCGGCTGTGGTAGCGGGGAGGGATTGGCGGGGAGAAATGCAGGCGCGTTAGCCTGCATGTTCGCGCCCCTCTTCCCCAGGCATGGATTGCAGCCTGCTTTGCATATGCAAACAATGATCAGATATCATACATCTTGAATAGTGCAAGCTTGAAGAATAAGCTTCAGTTCAGCCACCCTGAAAAGCAGGGGCCCCCAACCACCAGGCCTGTCGGTGGCCTGTTAGAAACCGGGCCGCACAGCAGGAGGTGAGCGGCGGGTGACCGAGCATTACATCCTGAGCTCCACCTCCTGTCACATCAGCTGCGGCATTAGATTCTCATAGGAGCACGACCTTTATTGTGAACTGGGGGATCCAGGTTGTGCGCTTCTTATGAGAATCTAATGCCTGATGATCTGAGGTGAAACAGGTTCATGTCGAAACCACCCAACCCCCCACCCCCGTGGAAAAATTGTCTTCCATGAAACCAGTCCTTGGTGCCAAAAAGGTTGGGGATAGCTGTTGTAGAAAACATCTTGGGTTTGGCAACAAAATGAATAAAATTGGGTCAAGGCATGGAAGAATTTGCCACTACCTCTGCCCCTCCCCCTTCCATTTTTGCAGAATTAGGGATCCTGGCCTGGGTAAATGGACGGTTGGAAATGGTGGCAGAATGCAATACCGCAGTCCCAGTCCCCTCCTCTTGCACCTGTCTTCACCCACGAGCAGCTTTTAACTTCCTCTAGGAGATGGGCAAGCTTAGTGTTGCGAGAGAGCCAGTCATTTCATTTTCGAGTTTTGTACTCATTGTGGGGAAGTGAAACCAAGAAGTAGTTTTCTCCAGTGGTTGAAGTCTTCCCTGTTTTCAAGCATTCCCTGTCATGGACTTGGCACTTGTAGCTCATTCACGGCAAAGTTTCAAGAATTTAAAAGTGTAGGCGGGCATAGTGGCTCATGCCTGTAATCCCAGCACTTTGGGAGGCTGAGGTGGGTGGATTTCCTGAGGTCAGGCGAGACCAGCCTAACAAGGTGAAACCCTGTCCGTACTAAAAATACAAAAATTAGCTGGGCGTCGTGGCAGGCACCTATAGTCCCAGCTCCTTGGGAGGCTGAGACAGGACAATTGCTTCAACCCGGGAGGCAGAGGTTGCAGTAAGCCAAGACTGCACCACTGCACTCCAGCCTGGGCGACAGAACGAGACTCCATCTCAAAAAAAAAAAAAAAAGTGTGGGCCGGGTGTGGTGGCTCATGCCTGTAATCCTGGCACTTTGGGAGGTGGCGGTGGGTGGATCACCTGAGGTCAGGAGGTGGAGACCAGCCTGGTCAACATGGTGAAACCCTGTCTCTACTAAAAATACAAAGATTAGCTGGGCGTGGTGGTGGGCGCCTGTAATCCCAGCTACTGGGGAGGCTGAGGCAGGAGAATTGCTTGAACCCCGGAGGCGGAGGTTGCAGTAACCTGTGATCATGCCATTGCACTGCAACAAGAGCAAAACTCTGTCTCAAAAAAAAAAAAAAAAAAAAGGTGTAGGTATGGCTGGTTGGTTGTCAGGCACACACAGACACACCCTACAGCACCCTATGATTTGGGGGCCTTTATTGGCAAAGTGACACCCCTACCCTACCCTGCTCCATGGGAGTGAGATAATATCACAGAACAAGTGTAACCCAAAGGGAAACTTTGCACCATAAAGCTAACAGTGTTTTCTACTATTATCACCCTAATCTAGGTCAACATTACAATAGCCTCTTCTCTGGTCTCCCTGCTTCCACTCTTGAGTCTCCACACAGTAGCCTAAGTCCTACATGACCTGATTCCTGGCTTCCCGTTCATCTCCCAACCATTCTCCTCCTGTCTTTTGAATATTCCTTGCTCTTTACTGCCTTAGGATGTGTTGCACTAGTTGTTCCTTGTGACTGGAATATTCTCTGCCCAAACTTTGAAAGGCTAGTTGGTTACTTCTCATCATTCAGACTTAGGTTAAGTGTTTCCTTCTTAGAATTCTTCCTTGATTTATCTTCCCCCAGTCTAAAGTGCCAGTCACGTTAATCTGTTTTATTTCTCCATACAGCACTCATCACTGATTTTTTTAAAATCCATTTTGCTATCTTTCTCTCTCCCTGGAATATTATGTGCTCATGAAGAAGCTCCGTGTCTGTTTTGTTCCTGATCATCTGCACTGCGTAGCAGATTACCTGTCTCATAGAAGGTGCACAATAACTAATTTGTTGCATGAATGAACAAAACGTTTTCTCCAGTCTCTTTTCAGATCTTCTCTTCATCACCATTGAACCAAAGGGAAATGTACTAGTGTTGTGTCTGGCAGCCTTGTTCCACGCTTTGCCTTTTGGTGATTTCCAGTATCTTTTTTTGTTGTTGTTGTTTCTTTCCCTTCACCATCACTAGAATGTTAGCTTCATGATCTAAGAGATCCCATTTTGTTCCCTGCTGTGTTCACTTAGTATGGGGCCTGGCACATGATAGATCCTTAGTAACTTTTTATTCAGTGAACGAATGAATGAATGAATAATGAACTTATCTATACTTTAAAGAAGTGAGTTGCCTAATTATAGGTAATGGTAGAGCTGATTCCTACCAGCCCATTGGACACCAAGGGCTGGTAGGAAGTAGATGAGGAAAATAGATTTCTAAAGCTATCATTAAGAGATAACAGGCCGGGTGCGGTGGCTCAAGCCTGTAATCCCAGCACTTTGGGAGGCCGAGACGGGCGAATCACGAGGTCAGGAGATCGAGACCATCCTGGCTAACACGGTGAAACCCCGTCTCTACTAAAAAATACAAAAAACTAGCCGGGCGAGGTGGCGGGCACCTGTAGTCCCAGCTACTCGGGAGGCTGAGGCAGGAGGATGGCGTAAACCCGGGAGGCGGAGCTTGCAGTGAGCTGAGATCCGGCCACTGCACTCCAGCCTGTGCGACAGAGCATGACTCCGTCTCAAAAAAAAAAAAAAAAAAAAGAGATAACAGACCACTTCGAGAGGCCAAGGCGAGTGGATCACGAGGTCAGGAGATCGAGACCATCCTAGCTAACACGGTGAAACCCTGTCTCTACTAAAAATACAAAAAAATTAGCTGGGTGTGGTGGCAGGCGCCTCTAGTCCCAGCTACTTGGGAGGCTGAGGCAGGAGAATGGCATGAATACGGGAGGCGGAGCTTGCAGGGAGCCGAGATGGCGCCACTGCACTTCAACCTGGGTGACAGAGTGAGACTCTGCCTCAAAAAAATAAATAAATAAATACATAACAGACTAAGATAACAAGAGAAAATTCTTTATGCGAATGTTTGCCATTCAAAACCATTCTGCCTTACCCTTGTAACTAAGAATGGTGGAAGTAAAAGGTGGAGATCTCTGAATTATATTTTAATGTTAGACCACCGTATAATTATTAATATTATTCCATAATACAAATGCAGGCCCTTGAAAGTAGGTATCCCGTGTTGTGCTTTTTAAACAAGTGCTTCTCCCCTTCCCCAACATGTAGCATCTGCTACAAAGCCTGTCAGAGTATTGTTCATTCATCAGATATTTTCAGAACATCTGCCACATTCTAGGCACTGTTGGGCACTAGGGATACAGCAGAAAACAGGTCAGACAAGGTCCTTATTCTCATAAATGTATATTCTAGTGGAGAGGATGGAAAACAAGCAAATAAGGATTTCAGAGAGTGAGTAATGCACTGAAGAAAATACAGCAGGGTAATGATACCAGGGTATGATGAAAATGCAGCCATATTAGACAGTCTGATTGGAGGAGTCCCCAGTAGCAGGGGACATTTGAACTGAGCCTTGAATGATAAAGAGATAACCATGAAAAGAACTGGGGAAAGGACATTCCAGCCAGCAGAGAGCAAATGAAAAAGCTCTGAGTGGGAGTAAGTTTCATGTGCTGAACTGAAATAAGGCCAGCTGGGCCAGAGGGATGTGAACTCATTTGTATTTTAAGTCTTTCCTGCTTTTAGGCCTCCAAAGCTCAGGCTTTTTGGCATTTAAAGATGACCTGTTCTGGTGTCTTTTCCTCCCTCCTTTGTGTCCCTAAACAGTGTTAAATATTTTTAAAAACCAAGAGGACATCAGTACACGGTAAAGGACAAAGACTAACAAGAACATTGTATCTTTTTTTTTTTTTTTTTTTTTGCGATGGAGTTTCGCTCTTGTCACCCAAGCTGGAGTGCAATGGCACGATCTCGGCTCACTGCAACCTCCACCTCCCGGGTTTAAGCAATTCTCCTGCCTCAGCCTCCCGAGTAGCTGGCATTACAGGTGCCCGCCACCATGCTCAGCTAATTTTTGTGTTTTTAGTAGAGACGGGGTTTCGCCACGTTGGCCGGGCTGGTCTCCACCTCCTGACCTTAAGTGATCCACCAGCCTCAGCCTCCCAAAGTGCTGGGATTACAGAAGTGAACCACTGCGCCCAGCCCAGAACATTGTATCTTTGCCTTCAGCCAGAATTATGTCAGCTTGACATAATTTTTTTTTCTTTTGGGAGAGAGAGAGAGAGATGGGGTCTCACTCTGTTAAACAGGTTGGATTGCAGTGGTGCAATCATAGCTCACTGTAACGTCTGACTCCTAGGCGCAAGTGATTTTCCACCTCAGCCTCCTGAGTAGTTTAGCTGGGAATACAGGTGTGTGCCACCGTGCCTGGCCAATTTTTTTTTTTTTTTTAAGCCAGCTATGTTGTCCAGGCTGGTCTTGAACTTCTGGCCTCATGTGATCCTCCCACTTTAGGCCCGCAAAGTGTTGAGATTACAGGTGTGAGCCACCATGCTCAGCCGTGACATGATTATTTACAGTGATTGCTTGTGATGAAAAAACTCGATGATAGGGATCACTTGGATTAGGAAACAAAAAGTTGATGGAAGTGAGAAAGGCAGTGTTATGCTAAAGTGGCTGGTTAGATAAAACTTGTGCATTGGGAGAAACCATCAAAAGAAGTCCTTGGCTTCCTCAGTAAGTTAAATGTAGACTTAGCATATGACCTCCACAGTTCCACTTGTAGGTGTATACCCAAAAGAGTGGAATACAGGTTGCCAGGCACAGTGGCTCACGTCTGTAATCCCAGCACTTTGGGAGGCCGAGGCGGGTGGATCACGAGGTCAGGAGATTGAGACCATCCTGGCTAACATGATGAAACCCCGTCTCTACTAAAAATACAAAAAATTAGCTGGGCGTGGTGGTGGGCGCCTGTAGTCCCAACTACTCGGGAGGCTGAGGCAGGAGAATGGCCAGAACCAGGGAGGCGGAGCTTGCAGTGAGCCGAGATGGCGCCACGGCACTCCAGCCTGGGCGACAGAACAAGACTCTGTCTCAAAAAAAAAAAAAAAAAAAAGAGTGGAATACAGGTGTTCAAACAAAACATGTTATGTGAATGTTCATAGCAGCACTATTGACAGTAGCCAAAAGGTGGAAACAACCCAAACATTCAGCTGATGAGCGAATAAATAAAATGTGGTCCCTCTGTACAATATAATATTTATTTGGCCATAAAAAGTAACAATGTACCAATACATGGTACAACATGGATAAACTGAAAACATGCTTGGCTGGGCGCGGTGGCTCATGCCTGTAATCCCAGCACTTTGGGAGGCCAAGGTGGGTGGATCACCTGATGTCGGGAGTTTGAGACCAGCCTGACCCACATGGAGAAGCCCCATCTCTACTAAAATTACAGAATTAGCCAGGCTTGGTGGCGCATGCCTATAATCCCAGCTACTTGGGAAGGCTGAGGCAGGAGAATCGCTTGAACCTGGGAGGCAGAGGTTGTGGTGAGCTGAGATCGCACCATTGCACTCCAGCCTGGGCAACAAGAGTGAAACTCCGTCTTAAAAAAAAAAAAAAAATGCTAAGTGAAAAAAGCCAGACACAAAAGGCCACATACTGTACATTTCCATCAGAATAGACAAATCTATAGAGACAGAAAATACATTAGTGGTTGCTGGGGCTGGGAGGAGGAAGACTGGGGAGTGACTGCATAATGAGTATGGGGTTTCCTTTTGGGATGATGAAAATGTTCTTGGCACTGGATAGTAGTGATGGTTGCACATTCTTAATGCACTGAATCACACAGAATGTACACTTTTAAATGGTTACAATGGCAAATATTATGTGAATTTTACTGCAATTAAATGTCTCGCCCCGACAGTTTAAAACCCAGAGATCTAGCCAGAGAGAAGTGTAGTCTAGGGAGAGCACATTGTCCCACGCCTGGCCTCTCACTAACTTAACTGCCCTGAAATTGCTGGGTTCAAACTCCAGCCTATCTAGCCAAAGCGTCCTCCATGATGCCAACTCCTTTGTAGGTGGTTTTGTTTATTTTTGTCAGATTTCTTGTTCAGGGTTTACTGAGAAAGGCCTCCTGGGATGATGAGTACGACAGGGGCTGATGTAGTGTGCAAAGGGTCTCCTTCACCTAACTGAAAGGAACCCTGCAGGAGAAGGCCTTATTATGTCTGCAGCCTTGTTTATTCTGGACAGGGTTGTGTATATCTTTGATTAGTGTGAACAGGTACTAATGGGGTGCCCTCCACATCGCTGGCACTCACTAAATTGTTAAATAAGTCAATGGATGAATGAATAAATATTAATTTGTGAGAGCTTGCCTCGCTTGTGGGCTTGTTTCCACTCTATTTCTTAAACAGGGGCCCCTTGGGAAGGGGAGTTAGCCCCAAAAGTCCCTGGAACACCCACTTGCTCAGCTCTATACGCCCTCAGGTCATTACCAAAAGCAAGTTCGTCTTGGTGAAGTTCGACACCCAGTACCCCTACGGTGAGAAGCAGGATGAGTTCAAGCGTCTTGCTGAAAACTCGGCTTCCAGCGATGATCTCTTGGTGGCAGAGGTGGGGATCTCAGGTATGGACAAGTCCAGGATGGCTGGGGAGGGCAGAGAGGGAGGAAGCTAGGAATCGTTTCCACTTGGAAGAGGAGTACCCAGCATCTTTCCTTCTGAGCCACCCTCAAGGAGTGTAAGTAAACAGGTTCATGGCCTCTAAAGGAATCTGGTGCCCATAGTAGGCTTAACCTGAGCAGATTCTGGGACCATGGAATCTCAGCTCAGCCGTGCAGGTGCCTGAAGGGAAGGGAACCCCTGACATTCCACCCCTCTCTGACATTAAACTGTGAGAACTTTTGAGCTCTCCTTGCAGTGAACAGAATGAAGAGGGCAGAGGGGGTGCTATGTCCCCTAGTGGACTGCATAGTCAGTTCTTCTGTCTTCATTTCAGCTTCTGTACCAAAACTGTTTGGTTTTGGCTTTAGCTCAAATGCACTGATGCCACCACTAATCCAAGGGCACCTCCCAACCACAGTGACAGCTTCAGTAGTCGCCAGCATTTAGTGGTCGACAGGGTAAAGATCTGCGCCCCCCATTGCATTTTAAATCTTCACTTGAACTCTGCCTGAGAAGCAAGATGTATTATCTCCATGTTATACTTCAGGAAAAAAACCTGAAGCTCAAAGCTTAAAGGACTGTGGGCTATGGAGTGGCTCATCCAGAGCTCCACCTAAGTGTTTAGTCCCAGGCAGGGACTTACTTGTCTCACTTCCCTCCCAGCTTGGATGCCTCCATTCCGTAGTAAGCTGGGAACTTAGTAGAGAGTCTGGTCCTGGGTATACCGATAGAGATAGCTGGCACACCTCTCCAGGACAGTCAGTCAGATTTGACTCAACTTTAGGTAACTCCCTTGGTGCTTTTATTAGAAAAATAATAATAGTTAACATTTATCAGATGTTTACTGTGTGCCAGGCCACTGTGCTGAGTGTTTTACATGTGTTTCATCTTTGCAAGAGCTCTATGAAGGAAGTCCCATGTGGTACTATTACCTCCATTGTTTCAAATGAAGAAATGGATGCTTAGAGTAACTTGCTCAAGAATGTGGAATTGTTAAGTGGCAGAACTAGGTTTGGAACCCTAGGCATCCAATACTACCACTACTAGTAGTTGGTCTTAGCTGTTTCTTGGCAAAGTGTAAGAAACCAGTTGTCACAGCATCAGCCCTTGGGGCTGCTACTGCCCGTTAGGAAGGGTGTTTTGCAGATACTAACAGCAGCTACCACATATTAAGCATTTAACCTGGCCAAGTATCATGCACATATTCCCTCATCCGGTCCTCCCAACAGCCCCCATGTGGCAGGGACTGTGTTCCTTCCCTTCCACATGCTCCCCTTTCTCACCCAGCTCCAGCCAGACTGGCCTTTCAGGAGACTGAAAACTCCTGAGCTTAGTCCTGCCTCAGAGCTTTTGCACTTGCAGTCCTTTCTGCCTGAGACACTCTTCCCAGATCTTCATGTGGCTGGCTCCAGGACATTCAGGTCCTTTAGCTGATGTCACCTTCACAGGGAGGCCTTCCATGACCACCCGAAGTGGGCTTTCTTACCCAGTCACTTTGTCACATCATGCTGTTTTGTTTTCCCGATGCCACTCATCACCTATGTTTATGTGTTTGTTATGTCTCTTCTCTCCCTTAGAAGAATGAGCTTAATAGTCTTTTTTTCTTTTTTTTTTTTTTTGAGACAAAGTCTCACTCTGTTGCCCAAGCTGGAGTGCAGTGATGCGATCTCAGATCACTGCAACCTCCACCTCCTGGGTTCAAGCGATTCTCCTGCCTCAGTCTCCCGAGTAGCTGGGACTACAGGCATGTGCCACCATGCCCTGCTATTTTTTTTTTTTTTTTGTATTTTTAGCAGAGATGGTGGTTTCACTATGTTGGCCAGGCTTGTCTTTAACTTCTGACCTCGTGATCTGCCCGCCTTGGCCTCCCAAAGTGCTGGGATTACAGGCATGAGCCACCGCATCCGGCCGAGCTTAATACTCTTAATCACAACTAGACCCTCAGCACCTAGAACAGCATTTGACACATAGTGGGCATATAATAAATATTCAGAAGAATCTCCATTTTTTCATCTAACAGTTCAGAGTTTAATTATTTGCCTAGTGCTACATGGCTAGGAAGTGGTAGAGGAGGAATTCAAACCCAGGTATGTATGGTTGCTCCTCACTTTGAACCATTACATGGCCAAGAAAATTCTTCTTCCCTTCAGTGCAGCTAGGTCCCATAGCAATTTTCTGCCCTGAGTTCCTCATGGTCTTGCTTTTTGTGTCTGGTTTCTGCTCACAGATTATGGTGACAAACTGAACATGGAACTGAGTGAGAAATACAAGCTGGACAAAGAGAGCTACCCAGTCTTCTACCTCTTCCGGGATGGGGACTTTGAGAACCCAGTCCCATACACTGGGGCAGTTAAGGTTGGAGCCATCCAGCGCTGGCTGAAGGGGCAAGGGGTCTACCTAGGTATGCCTGGTTGCCTGCCTGTATATGACGCTCTCGCCGGGGAGTTCATCAGGGCCTCTGGTGTGGAGGGCCGCCAGGCCCTCTTGAAGCGGGGGCAGGACAACCTCTCAAGTGTGAAGGAGACTGAGAAGAAGTGGGCCGAGCAATACCTGAAGATCATGGGGAAGATCTTAGACCAAGGGGAGGACTTCCCAGCATCAGAGATGACTCGGATTGCCAGGCTGATTGAGAAGAACAAGATGAGTGATGGGAAGAAGGAGGAGCTCCAGAAGAGCTTAAACATCCTGACTGCCTTCCAGAAGAAGGGGGCCGAGAAAGAGGAGCTTTAAAAGGCCGTCTGTGGTTTTCCAGGGTTTGGTGGGGATAGGGAGGGGAGAGTTAACCTGCTGGCTGTGAGTCCCTTGTGGAATATAAGGGGGTAGTGGGAAAAGTGGTACTAACCCACGATTCTGAGCCCTGAGTATGCCTGGACATTGATGCTGATGTGACCATGCTTGGGATGTCTCTAGCTGGTCTGGGGATAGCTGGAGCACTTACTCAGGTGGCTGGTGAAATGACCCCTCAGAAGGAATTAGTGCTATAGAGGAGAGAGGAGTATACGGCCCAGGTCTTTGACAGGTGTAATTCTCATTCAATTAAAGTTTCAGTGTTTTGGTTAAGTGGACCTGAAGCCATTCTGTTGTCTTTTCAAATTACACTTTGGTCTATGACCTGCTTTCCTCTTTGAATCTAAGCTGGTATGGACTCCACTTTCCCAGCGTAATAAACTATCCTCGTAACACTGTGGAAACTGGCATACCTTTGTTATTTTCCAGTGATATTCAGACTGACATGGATTGACTATTAATGGTCAAGTGTTTTGTCCATTTTCCAGTCCTTAAAACTCAGTAGCAGTATTGATGAATACATTGAACCAACATTGATGGACCATGGTGTGATTATTTTCCATGCTCTGTGAGGTACACATAGCAAATTATTAGTTTTACTGATATATTCTGTGACTTGGATTTACACAGCTAAATGATATAGTCCAGTCCAATCTGAAAATTAAAAAATATTTTCCATCTAAATCACTATCTGTCACTAAATAAATACTAACTTCTAGAAAGCAGACTAAAGAGCACTTGTGCCAACATTCACATCTTTTCTTCAGACTCAGAAGCAGTTATCTGCAATAGTGAGCTTCATGACAGCCCTACTTTCATATTTAACTATGTGAAAATGTTATCAGACCACAGCTCCTGAAGTATGTCTAATTGCACCCACACAAAGAATGGAGTTGGCAAATAAGACCTTGAATTATTTTCCTCCATTTTATCCAGGTTGGTATATTTAGTTACTGGAAACAAAAAAATAGAGGAAATTCCATGTGTTGAATTGGATGGGACAAAAAAATTGTGATAGCTTAGGCTAACAATTCAAACCAAGTAAGTAAGAGATGTTTAAACCTAAACATCCACCTGCTGACAGCTTACGTACTCCACGTATGATGAAAGACTAATAATTTCTACATTTTCCCTTCTCATTAGTTCTCACTGAAACTTTTGGAAGATCTTTTTGGACACTTCTAACTGGTAAATTTGCTTTGGCTGTTCTAGTGTGTACCATGTAAACAGGATCACTTCCAAAGAGCAAAGTATTCACTGTTTTATAGAAATTAGAATAAGATGACAAATGGCAGGTAGGGAAAGGACTCTAATATTAAATGCATCCACAGTCCGTGAATGAAGACTAATCTTGATTCTCAATTGTAAGAAGCAGGAATGTGACTACCTCCATGGGTACGGCACTGGATGCGTTCTGGCTGGGTATGGTTCTTTACAACCCCAGGGCCTTGAGTTGAAGAAACCTGAGCTATTGGGCAAAACTACATTATCGTATGTCAGAGGCCCTTTGTTAGCCAATAGTTTTCATTAAAGATGAGCCCTCTTTCTAGAGTCTTGTGATTTGCATATGTCACATAAAATCCAGTCTTCCCTGACCCAAGTCAAATGGATTCCTTTCCTCTACCTGTTAGCATTTACTAATCCTGTGGCTCAAGTACTGCTACTCAGATTCTAATGAAGACTATGGACTGGAATCCCAGAATCAATCAAATATTTATAGTTGTTTTTTTAAAAGAGATGGGCATCTTGCTATGTTGCCCAGGCTAGACTTGAATTCCTAGGCTGAAGTGATCCTCCCACCTCAGCCTGCTGAGTAGCTGGGGAGTACAGGTGCATGCCACCACACCTGGTTAAGTATTTTCAATTTTAAGGGAGTTTCCTGATAACCTGAAGCAAAGCAGACACTGGATCCAACATGAATTGTGTTTAAGGAACTTACAAGTTATCTCAAATGGTGCCAAGAGTAATTTACAAATAGTTCTTGGTAATTGGCACCACAAAAAAAAATGTTGGAGTTGGAACTGCATCAGCAGAGATTATACATAGGGAACTAATCTGGGAATATGAACATGGCCAACAAGACTTAAGAATGTGAGAGAGATGGTGAGGGGGATCTGGATTTTAGCTCATTTCCTCAAAGCTTAAGGAAGTTTGAATCGTTTGCAGGAGAGTTCAATAATTTCAATATTAAATAGTAGTCTTACCTACAACAACTACTTTTCTGATTTGTAAAACAGTACAGTGTCTGGGCCAGTGTGGTGGCTCACGCCTGTGATCCCAGCACTTTGGGAGGCCAAGGTGGGCGAATCACTTAAGGTCAGGAGTTTAAGACCAGCCTGGCCAACATGGTGAAACCCCATCTCTACTAAAAATATAAAAATTAGCAGGCCGTGGTGGCAGGTGCCTGTAATCCCAGCTACTCGGGAGGCTGAGGCAGGAGAATCGCTGGAAATCAGGAGGTGGAGGTTGCAGTGAGCCAGGATCGCGCCACTACACTCCAGCCTAGGGGACAAGAGCAAGACTTTGTCTCAAAAAAAAACCAAAACTACAGTATCTGAGGCCTAAATTTACTGGACTATATGGAAGCTGAAGGTTGCAGAAAAGCTCTGCACTTCTGAAGCATAAACTTCTGTAGGAACCCCACAAATAATTTGTATAAGCATTTGGTTCATGGTAGCTTACCCTCCAGTTGTACTATGAAATACATGTCTGCATCAAAGCAGGAACAGCATCTAAAAAAACGGCATGTAAAAAAGCATAAACCTGAGCCCATCTCTGGAGAAAAGAATGGCAGCGAGGTATGCCCAAGTACCTATCTTTTGCTAGAGAAAAACTGTGGGAGGCCAAGGTGGGCAGATCACGAGGTCAGTTCGAGACCATCCTGGCCAACATGGTGAAACCCCGTCTCTACTAAAAATACAAAAATTAGCTGGGTGTGGTGGCACACGCCTGTAATCCCAGCTACTCAGGAGGCTGAGGCAGGAGAGTCACTTGAACCTGGGAGGCGGAGACTGGTGAACCAAGATCATGCCACTGCACTCTAGCCTGGTGACAGAGCAAGACTCCGTCTCAAAAAAAAAAGAAAAACCTTGGGATGGAGTTAATTCATAACTGAAGAAAGAGGCAAAAACTGACTCTTTGGGGGCTCATACAAGGGGACAATATGACAAGACAGAAAGTAAAAAAGAGAAAAAGTTCCTACTTCTACCATGTTGTCAATGTACCTGAATAAGTTCTGAATCCCAGCTTGTGGGTTTGAGTTCCCTTGGATAAATCATGTCATCAGCCTGCCTGAAATCCTCCGGTAACTTCCCACTAAATTGAGAATAAAATCTTATTCCTTCCCCAGACTACAAAGTCCTGATGGATCTCATCCCTGCTCAACTTTCTATCTCAATCCTACCCCTTTCATTAAGTCCCAGCCACTTGAACATTTTTTCACTTCCTGGAACTGGCTCAGCAGTCTCCTGCCTTGGGGCATTTGCATATGTGTTACTTTTTTCCTGAGACTTCATCATTCAAATCAGAGGTCACCACTTGGGAGGTCCTCCTGTGGCCCAGTCTGAAGTGACCATCTAGACACACTCAATTCACATACTGTGATTTACATTATTAAGCAGGATGTAATTACAAACTAATATTTTTATTGCCTCTTCCCCATCTCACAGCCACTAACTGGGATATACGTTACTCATTTACTAACTAGGACACAGCATCTCAGCAGAGCCTAAAGTGGAATCTACTATATGCTAATTAAGTGTTCAGTACATGTATGTTGAATTAATAACTGCAAGTATAGAAGGTACTAACTTTTGAGCCAAAAGGACTAGTTGACTTCAAATAAAAATTCTAAATTCTCAAATATTGAAAATATGCTGGGATATAGCACTAAATTCACAATTGAGATGAATTACACCATTTAGAAGGTTGTGGCTTCTAAGAATCTGAACAAAAAGGAACCAGGCAGAAATGCCAACTTAAAATGAAAATGTTTATATAAATTAACCCATCCAGTTTAAAGTAGATTTGCTATGCTTCACTTACTTAAGAAGGAAGAATATATACTTCCCATATTAATAAATCACATCAAATAAGTAGGAAGTTTCAATAACAAGCCTGTAGATACATTGAAACCCCTTTTTATATTAAAAGTTAAAATGAAAGACAAATCCAGATTGAACATAGTGATTGCAAAATATAATGCAATTTTGAACAATTGAAATTATGAAAATATACAAAATTGATGGGCAACACAACTAGGCATTTTTACATTTTCCATTATGTGGAGAACACTACAAGTTTCTCTACCTTTTATCCACATCAGATAAATGATTTAAACCAAATGTTTGCTTTGGAGAGTCTTAACTTAGGATCTCAGTAGTATAAAAAGCAATAATTTTTCAGTCTGTAAACAGTAGTCGTGATTTTTCTCCTTTCCTTTTTTAAATATCAATTTACCACACAAAAACAAACAAAACAAAAAAACCCATACAAATCAAAAACAGCAGCAGCAGCAATGAGTTATTTGGGAATTCTCTTCAAATACCAATGACATACGATTGCTGGGAGAGGGTGCTTTTTACTCATGTAAGAATATATATATGTATATATATATATATATTTTAACTGTACACAATTTATAGTGCATGAGGGTTACCAAAAGAACAGATTGATAAGAGATATTGGCCATTTCTGCATAATTTCATTCTTTTTACAATTATCTCAAAATGTGAAAGCTGGATCTAATTGAAATGCTACATTTAGTAGGAAAATCAGCAAATAACAAAGGAAGCATAACCTCAACATAACATTATTTGTCATTAAAGCCAGTAGAGGTCCCAGATATCTTCAGGCAAGAGACTGGTTAGGAAGACCACTAGAGTCACACACTGTCCCTGAGGACCAAGGCCAGCCCACTGAACATATATATATGCTAGATTGATCATGGTCAGTTGACAGACTTTTTCAAAGAGCATTTCTACAGTACAGTACTTGTTTGGATATTCAGAGAGACATCATTTCAAGAACACATGCCATACACACGTACCCCACCCTCCCCAGCAGACACACGCAAAGTTCCATCTTAAACAGGCCATAGTTTTATGAAAGAATATGTTATCATTACATAAAATTCAGAATTAACCAGACCTTTCCATTCATCTTAAGACAGTTCTTCCTTTTGGGATGGGGTATATGACAGCTGTGGCTACTCATATCAAAAATAAATTTTTGAAATTACTTGATGGACTAGGATTTCCAACAAGCCTTATTTTGAACAGGTAATGCAGTAACTGTTTAAATTTTCCTTGGAAGTTTAAGCACTATATCAAATTATGAATCTAAGAAAGTCAAAATGGAGGGACGAAATGCAATTACTATGAATACACAGATATTCCCAGC